CAGCAACATTCTCACAGCCAGCAATACCAAAGACCTTAATATTATTAGCAAATTTAAGTAATTTATTGACCGTTCCTTCATCTATGTCCATGATGTACATAAAAAAAAAGCAAAGTTCCTAAAACTGAGCTCCGAGATACCCCACATGCAACATTAATCCAGTTTGACTGAACTCCATTTATAACAACCCTCTGCTTTCTTCCATCCAGCCACTCTTTTATCCAATTTACTAACCTATCCCCCACTCCTATATAGATCTTTTTTCTTAAATGCCTTTTATGTGGCACCTTGCCAAATGCTTTCTGATACACCAAATCTACACCTTTACCCTTGCCTACATAAGCAGTAACCTTTTCCAAGAATGTCAAAAGACTTATAAGGCATGATCTTCCATTAGTAGTAAAACCATGGTGATTATCCAATAAAATTCTAAACTTTGTTTAATGACTTTACAAGGCATCTTTTATCAGACTTTTAAAAATTTTCTCCATAATCGACGTAAAACTATTAGACCTATAATTACTGGAACAATTTTTATCACCTGCCCACTATCCAAGTACTTAGAGAAAATAGTAGCAACTGCCTCACATATCTAATCCTTAACTTCCTTCAAAACTTTGGGGAAATATTATCTGGCCCAGAAACCTTATCTTTCTTTAAACTTCCCAGTTTTTTATAAAAAGCTTAGAATTAGTTTAATAATCTTTTTTTTTATTTTGTTTCCATTTATCAACAGTTAAAGATGAGAAATATTGCATAAATCTTCATAAGTAGAAACTGAAGAAAAAGCAGAAGTTAATAATCCAGCCATCTCATAATCATCAGATACAAACCTTCCTTTATTATTCCTCAAAGGCCCTACACCCATTTTGTTTACCATTAATGTATTTAAAGAAATCCTCACTGTTAATTTCTATATTTTCAGCCAACCTTTTTTCATATATCCTTTTTGATGTCCTAACCTCCTGTTTGACCAACTCTCTTGATCATCTTTAATTTTCTAAATTTCCCATTGTACCACTCAATTTAAATTTCTTAAATTTGGGATGCTTTTCTGTAATTTTATCCCTTGTACCCCTTTGTAAGCCAACCTGGTTTTTTACTTCCAACCACCCTTTTCTTTCTATAAGGAATATGTTTACCATCAATATTTAAAACTTATCTTTAAACATTTTTCACAGTTGATCAGCATATCCAAATAACTCAGCTGCCCAATTCACAACAGATAATTCTTGTTGCATCCCTTCAAAATTTGCTTTTTTTGAAATTTGTAACCAAAATATCATTATTCCTTATCTCCACAAACAACAAAATGTCAAATCTAATAGAGAAATGATCACTTGCATCCAAATGTTCCCCAATATCTACCCTCTCAACTATTTCTTTATTAGAAGTTAACAATAAATCTAAAATAGCAATTGGTGAAGAAAACCATCTTGAATAATTTCCAAAAA